GTGGGAGCAGCCCATCCATCCTGCTCCTCACTGGTCTGTGTGAGGCCGTGGCCCTGTCTCCACTGCTGCTGGGTCAGCAGCCCCTCTGCAGGTGCTGTGGGCTCTGATGTCCCTAAGCATGCCCAGATTGCTGGCCACCTGCAAGTGTTTAGGTCTCGCTAAGTTTCTGAGGCTGGCTTTGAACTTGTGCTCCTCCTGCCCCAGCCCCGTGTTGCTCTGTGTCTGTGTTGGTCTCTTTGTTTGTTTCTTGTTGTTTGTTCCTGTGCTTTGCCAGAGTGTGTCCTCAGTAACTGCCAGCAAAGGGTATGTGGAAGACACCTTATCTTCAGGTAGCCTAGATGCCTTAATCCTATCTTCACTGGACAGATGTGAGATGGCCCTAGAATTGTGGGATGGAAATTATGTGCCCTCAGATTCTGGACTGTTCTGTGCACCGTCTCCTAGTAGCTTTGCCTCTGCTGAGAAGCCTGCCATTCTGATTCTCTCCCTTGCCACTTGTGCTCTACTGAACAAGTTTGCACTATGGGTACCATGCCAGGAGTGCACGGGCACAACTCCTCCCATCGAGGAGCTGACACCACAGAGAACACAGACAGATGACACAGATGAACACGCAGTGGTCCCCACTTTTTTCTCATTTTTACTTTCTCTGGGACACAAGGTCCAAAAACCTTTAATGGAAAATTCCAGAAATAATCCCTGTGTTTTAAGTAGCACACCATTCTGCATTGTAAGATGAAACCATGGCCCTTCCTCTGCTTCCCACCAAGGACGTGAGCCCCTTTGCCCATTGTGTCCAGTGCTACCCTCCCGACAGTGACTTGACAGCCGCCTAGGTTACCAGATCTCTGTAATGGTGTCACAGATCCTGTGTGCAGACAACTCTTAGGAGGTGGTCTAATGCTGCGTCCTGATGCCTCGCTTACCTCTCCTCATAGGCTGCATCCTCTCACACCCCAAGAATGCTGAGCACGAGCAGCGTGGTGCAGTGAGTGAGAGGGCTGGTTAGAGCCTCCCCTGCAGCGCAGTGTTGGGGTCTCTGTCTCACTCTGGATTTCTGCGTTAATCTCCCGCTGCGCCTGCTTTACAAGTCGAGCTCTGTCGGGGATGTGCATGTACAGAATGAAGAGTCCACATAGAGTTTGGCACTGTCTGTAGTGTCAGGCGTCCCTGGGGTCCTGGCATGTGTCCCTGCAGAAAAGGGACTGCTGTGAGACTGACCACAGTGGAGCAGGTAGTTACAGTAGGTCAGGCAGTCCCTCTGTGACCAGAGGCCGCCTAAAGAAGTCCAAAGCATGGAGCTGGGGCTCAGAGGCAGGGCATGCCTGAGGTACTGGGTTTGAGCCTCAGCACCACGTAAAATAAAGTTATTGTCTCCACCTATAATTAAAATATAAATATTAAAAACATAAAGTCCAGAGCAAGCTGGCGAGGTGGTTCTCAGGGAAGCCTGAGAGGAGTTGGGGGTCAGGGGACAGAGAAGGAAGATAGGACTGCATGAGAGGGCCACCCAGATGAGGAACAGGCTTACTGTAATTGAAAGGAAACCGTGGCCGAGGAGTGACCCACCTCCGTCAGCTCTGGGCTGTGCAGTAGGAGGGCGGAGCTGAAGGTGGGGGCATCAGCCTTGGGTCTATGAAATCATGGAGCCCAGGTTAAGTGGATGCATGGCATTTCTGGGCAGGAGCTGCGGGAGAGGGTGTGGAGACAAACCCGAGACAGGTAGGAGTGCCAAGTGGGTGGCCACACACCAAGGCCCTCCAGCTGGAGATGGATTTCGCAGTCACAGAGAATGTGGCATTTAAAGCCATTGAACTCAAGATGCTCGGAACATGTATGAACAGATGATTCAGATCTGGGAAAGGAGGCTGAGAGGCAGGAGACAGGGACAGGCTTCGGGTGGGTCAGAGCACCATGCACAGCTGTGGGTTCCTGGGGGTGGGCAGTGAGCTGCCACATGTCTGCTGCCTCCAAGGAGATATGCTCAATGGTGCCACGTGAGCAGCTATGTAGTGCTGCCTTTCTGGTGCCTGTTCACTAGTGAAAGATGTTTTCCTCCTTAGAACTCAGAGGCTGAGCTCAGAGTTTTTGCAAAAAGCCCATCAAGGGGCATTGGGAGGTCATGAGGCAGGCTTCTCTGGCCTCACCTAGGGAAGACATGGGACGAGCACTCCTGTGTGCACTGTGCTTTGAGCAGCTTGTTCCTCTCACTGTGCTTCCTTTAGGAAATACGGCACTTGCTGGAATTTCTCTCTTGGGTCCATTGGAGTAGGTTTTTGCAGTTCTCATGAAGCAGCCTAGTTTGGCGCTTACCTGTGGTCCCAGCACTTGGGAGGCTGTAGAGGGAGAGCCCTGCAGTTCTAGGCCTGGGTAACAGTGTGAGGCAACAGACCTCAGTTGTGGATCCGAGGTTTGTTCTTTCCTTGGTCTGGCCCAGCACCTCTCAAGCTGTGGTGTCACTCTGGAGACTGTCTGGGGGGGACCCTGGGCCCTAGCTCAGCTGGTGGCTAGGGAGGGGCTTGTGAGCAGCCCTGTTGCTACAGGCCATGGCCAGGAAGCCTCTGGAACAAGGGCCACACCTCATTCGCTGCTGGTCTGCAGGGAACATCATTCCAGTGTGCCTGGAGCAACACTTTGAGCCAGCCAGGCTGTGTACAGAGCATGCACACTGCTGAGGTCTCCTCGTCTCCACTCCGGGCAGGACGTGCCCAACCACCACAGGGTGTGTACAGAGGCGTCTGGAAAGAATACCTGTTGGCCCTGTACCAAGGACGGAGGAAACAGGGCAACCTGGGGCAGGGCGCCAGGGCAGGGCCAGGCCTCTAGGGAGGGCACTCAGGGCTCCAACCATTCCACCTCCCTAAAACCTTCCAGTTACTCACAGTCTGTGAATTGAGAACTGGGGAGCAGCACCCAGGGTGGTGTGAAGAAAGTGTCACATTACAGTGGGCTGTGCCCTGCTGCCTCCCCACTGCCACCCTCTCCCGGTGCACGTCCTGCCCACCTTCACAGCAGGTGGTTACAGTGCTGCTGGGGAGAGCCGAAGGGTGTGGGTGAGAAGTTGCGGGTGGCGTGGACTGCCCCTCCTCTGTGTGAGTCTCTGTCAGGGTTGCAGGTGTCCTAGGCAGGCTTTAGCGTGGGGATCAGGCCTGGGGTTTCTCTTAGAAGTACGCAGCCTGGGGTCCATCCCGAGTGCTCCCCTAAACAGCCCTCACCCTTCTGCAGGCCTGCTGCACTGTCTAAGCTGTGTGCAGTCTTCACTGCACCTTCAGAGGACTGAGGTGGGTGGGTCTCTGAGTCACACGAGCCTGCCTCGTCATGAGCATTGCTATGTTTAATGCCTTGCTCAGTTGGCACACTGTGAGGTTCCGGAAGCTCACGCAGACTGATGGCGTGGTGGTTCTCAAGGTGTGGTGCTTGGTTTGAAGCACAGTACTCACTTTGCCATGGAGGAGTGCAGCAGGCTAGAGCTCGTGACTCTGCCTCCTGGGAGCTAAGTCCCAGCCACTATTTGCCCTTGGGCTTCAGGGGTCTTACTTGTGGCTACAGTTGAAAACACACCTGGGCTTTAGCTGGAGACTAGCCAGGACAGAACAACGCGTTTCATCCTTCCCCCAAGATGAGCAAGGCCTGGGATCTAGCAGGAGCATCTGACTCGCCCTCCTTGCTCAGGGTGCCTGTGCTGGAGGACTCCCTGCTTCCCCTAGGGTGACTCTGCCCAGGGTGGGAGGCAGAGGCAGGTTCTCAAATGCCTGCTTAGCTTTGACAGTGTTTGAACCATGTATCACCGACACATGCTGTGTGCTTAGAGCTAGGGCTTCAGAGATGGTAGAGACAAGGTCTCTGCCCTCACAAGTGCCCACAGAACAGTGCCTAGGCGCCACCAGCCCTTCCTTGTTCATGTGGTCTTGTCTGTTCTGCTGTCTCCAGAGATGACGCAAATGCTGCTGTGTGGCATTGGTGTGACTTGCTCGTTGAGACCACACACCCTATTCTGAAATTTTAGATAGTGCCTTTCTTGGGTACAGCGGTTGGTGTGTAGCACTGAGCCAGAGAGGGACATTTTGGAGTTCGTTTGTGTCTACTTAATAAAAAGTGAGTCCTTCATGGTTGGGAGCTGTTGGTAGTACCGGGGTGCTTCAGAGCAGACAGGCACTGTGCTTGTGCCAAGGTGGAGGGAAGGAGCAGAGCCTGGGTGCTGGCGGGGCCAAGCCTGCAGGGGAGAGAGTGCCCTGGGGGCATCATCTTGTCTGCCTGGGGTGGAAAGGCTTTGCTCCTGACTGGGAACTTGAATACCCCTCTGCAGTGTGGCAGCTCTGCGGACTTGTCTTACCATGTTGCTATTTAAAGTGAAAATCAAAATCACTTCATTGGAAGAAATCTGTATGCCATCTTCTAATGAAGGAGAAATTAAACCTGTATATAGAGAACCTTTTTTTATGTGCTATAGGATTAGGACTAAATTCTCAGCTATATCATTGAATCTTCTGTGGTTTGTGCTGGTTTTGAATATTTTCTAAAATTAGGTAGTTTAGCCTGCAGGGCTCTTCATGGCTACCATAATGGCCTACAGTCCCATGGGTGTGAGCCTTTGTGCGGAGGAAGCTTTTGTGCGTCTGTGGATGTTAGGGAAGCCCAGAAGCAGTCCCAGGGCCGTTGGACCTGAATGAATGGCAGTGCCCCATCACAGGGTGCAGGGGTGATGGAGGTGTCAGCTTGCAGACAGGACTGTTTCCAGTGTGAACAGTTAAGACGCTCCCGAGAATGTGAAGTTGGCGTCAGAGCAGGGCAGGCCAACTGGGCAGGCCCCTAGGAAAGGCCACCAGTTGCTGCCAGCGGGAACTTTTCCTGGGCTGCACAGTGCGCAGCTGGGGCGACCTCATGCCTGCTCACCTTCCCCTGATGGCCGGGGTCTGCTATCATCTGGCCAGTGCTGTGGGAGGAGGGGCAGAGGGTGCTCCTGGCCCCCCCTCCCGGCCTCACCCCACGCATCTTTGCAGCACCCGTGGCTGCCATGTACTACAGCTACTACATGTTGCCCGACGGAACCTACTGCCTGGCACCACCCCCTCCAGGGATCGACGTGGCCACTTACTATAGCACCCTTCCTGCTGGGGTGACCGTGTCCAGCTCTCCCAGTGTGACGACAGCTGCCCCGCCGCCTCCTGGGACCACACCACCACCTCCCCCAACCACAACTGAAGCGAGCAGCGGCACCTCCTCCTCCACCACCACAAGGTACACGCACCTCCCACCCTGTTCTCAGTTTGGGCCCTGGTCTGGATTGAGCCTCTGGATTTGAATAGTTATTACTCAGATCCCAAAGTTGCAAAGTTGAAGATACCGTGACATAAAAATTCTTAAAAAGCTGAGCGTGGTGCTGCTTGCCTGTCATCTCAGTGATTTAGAAGCTGAGGTGAGAGGATCCAAGTTCCAAGCTAGCCCTGTCTCAGAGTTTAAGAAGGTGCCTCATGGTGAAGGCTGACTACAGGCACTCGTGGCTTGTACAGCATCCCACCCACCCCTTACTCAGAGTCTGCCCTGCGCCTGGCGCTGTAATCCTAACCCTAACCCTCTGGGAGCGGCAACTATTTGCAGACTCTGCAGGTTCAAGAGGTTGGTGATGCGGCCCAGGGGCACACCCTGAGGCCCTCGCAAGCCATGGTACTGTGGCTTTCTAGGGAGGCCCCCTAGTAAGGGTGCGTGGGCTCCAGGCAGCACCTACATATTTCTGCAGAGTGGCCTGTCCTCTTGAGGAGGTCGAGTGGGAGGTGAAAGGTTGAGTTGTGCTAGCAACAAAAAGGCAGCATGTGATGTACTCTTGGTTGTTGCTAGAGTTAGCTCCTTGTCGAAGGGAAGCCTTAATTAAGAAGAAAATGAGGGGCTGAGTTGTGGCTCAGTGGCAGAGTGCTTACCCATTATGTGTGAGGCCCTGGGTTCAGTCCTCAGCACCACATAAAAAAATAAACACAAATAAAGATATTTAAAAAAAAAAAAAAAGAAGAAGAAAATGAAACCTATTTCTGTCGCTCTGTGTCTGGCTCCCCAGTGAGGCTCCTTGTCGCTATAGGCCATGGTACCTTGGTCGCAGTGTGAGAGCACTGGCTTTGTTGGTTAGAGAACACAGCATCTTCAGAGCAAGGGCCCCCGGCATGTATTCTCTGTAACACCTGTATTTATTGCGCCCCTTGCAAGACCCAGACCAAGAGGACCTTCAGCCACCAGTACCGGCCCAGTGCAGCCACTGGGGAGTGTGAGACTTACCGGGCCTTTCTCCACAGTGCACTTGCTCCCGTGGCCGCCATCATCCCCCCACCCCCCGACATTCAGCCTGTGATTGACAAGCTGGCGGAGTACGTCGCTAGGAATGGCCTTAAATTTGAGACCAGCGTTCGTGCCAAGAATGACCAGAGGTAAGAGGTACAGTTTTAAGCATCGGGCTGCAGCTCATTGATGGAACTCTGGCCTAGCATGCCCGAGACCTGGCTTCCATCCTCGGCATCAGAAAAGAAAGGAATTCTAAGCAAATTCACTGCATGGGATTTAGGGTTTTCATTTAGGTCTTTTAAAAATCCAGCCATGTAGTTTCCCGTTTTCTTGGCTCAGTGTCTTTGGATAGACTCTTTTTCTTGGCTTGTCAAATTACTGAGAGTTACTTATAGTGAGTGAAATGTCTATGCCACCTGAGGTGAAAGGCTGGGTTCCCTCTGCTGGGGGCCTGCCCTGGGGTCTAGACAGGAACCTTTCCATAAAATCCAGTCTCGTCCCTTGGTCCCCAGTGGTGGAACCTGAGCGATGCCCCGCGTGGCAGTGCCTGTGCTGTGGGCTCCTTCGTGTGCGGCATGGGTGGGATGCCCATGGGAGTTGGTTGCGTCCAGCAGCAGGAGGCCGCAACTCACACAGGTTCTCAGAGAGGCTGCTGCGGTGTGTTGAGTGGCCTGTGTTTGTTCTCTTCACAGATTCGAGTTCCTGCAGCCGTGGCACCAGTACAATGCCTACTATGAGTTTAAGAAGCAGTTCTTCCTCCAGAAAGAAGGCAGTGAAGGCACACAGGTGCGTGTCCCGAGTGGCAAGGGCGTGAAGCCCGCGTGGGGCTGCAGAAGTCGCTGCCTACGTGCTCGCTGTCCAGTGTGGCAGCCTGTGCTGGTCAGCTGTGTGTCTCCTGTGCAGCCACCACTCAGCTCTCTCTCCATGGGCTTGTGTCCAACACATGCCAAACAAAAGCCTCTGCTTCCTCCTCGGCCCGTGACCTTGGGTGGTGCTACTCCTGTCTGCTCAGTTTGAAGTGTGCACGTGCATTTGAGCTGCATGGCTTGCACGTGAGCCTATGAAACGGAACCGCCTGCCCAGAGGGAGCACAGGGCTCATGTGGCCCGCCCTCCTCACAGAGCCCCCTGCTGTCGTCCTCACTGCCTTGCTGTCCTCCTGCCTTCTGCAGATTCCTCTCAGCCTTTATCTCAGGTTGCTCACAAGAAAGAACGCTGGCTTCCCAGCAGGCCCTGGGGAAAGTGGGGTTCTGACAGGACAGGTGCCACTGCCCAGTCCACGAGACAGAGCAGCACCCTGCCACGTGCACTGGGGGAGCTCCTTCCACTCCTCTTCAGCCTACTGTGTCAGAAAGTATCGAGTACAAATTTGAAATCTAAAAATGTGACTATGTGATGTCCCTCACGTTCTGACAGATGTCATGTGATTTCCATGTAATGGTGTGTGGTGATGTCACTCTCCCCAGGCTGTGGCAGCCCCAGAAGAGGCCCCTGCAGAATCCGCTCCTGAAAAGCCAGGCGAGACTGGGGATGTTGGCGTGCCCGAGGACACAGGCGAGGCAGGGGGTCGAAGCTCAGGCGGGAAGAAGGAAGCTTCGTCCAGTAAGAGCGCTGCGGACGGGAAGCTGGTAAAAGGTGCGCTGCTGTGGCTGCTCGCAGGCCCCGCTGAGCTGCAGGAGAGCCTCTTGGCCTGGAGTACAGGCCAGGGTGGGGCTTGCTGGGTTGTGTTCTCCTGGCTGGGCATTTGGAGTCCTGTGAACCATGAGTTAGTCCTGGGGATTCATTTGCTTAACAGCCTGTTTGGAGCAATTCAGAGGAAATATTTATGAATTATTAAATAATGTGTCATCCCCCTCAGACTTCTGAAATTATATTTGTTTGCAAACCATTGCACCGAGAAACCCCTTTTCTTTCCTGGTCAAAGTAGCCCTCTGAGTACCTTTTCTAGGCAGCAAGATGCGCTCTTGCTTTTAGTCACCTTGCTCTCTCCCTGGAGCCTTTGGTCCAGCAGGACACACATGCATGTGAGTGGCTGGTGCTGTGGAGACCAGGAGAGAGCTGGAGCAGGCTGCCTAGAGCCCTGCGTAGCAGAAGTGGGGAGGCAGCTGTTTCCCTGATGAATATCGAAGTGGGGAGGCAGCTGTTTCCCTGATGAGTATCGAGAGGATCCGTTCACAGTGGTGCTGCTGTGGGATGTGCTGGCCACCTGCTGTCCCAGTAAAGAGTGTCTGAGTGACTCCAGCATCCAGGGACAAAGAGAGGGTCTGGAGAGGATAGCCAGCTCATTGCTTTGCCCTCCCATGAGGCCCCGGGCCTGCTGGGGGATGGCCTCATCCTTCAGTGGCTTCCCAAGGAGATGCAGGCAGAGGCATCCTTGAAGGCTGTGAGAGACCGTGGCCTGGAGCACAGCTGTGCAGAGGCAGGCGCAGTGACAGCAGCTCCTAGCGGGGAGGAGGGTGGGCAGTACAGTGGGGAGCAGGTGGTGGTCATTCAGAGTAACCCAGTTGTTCCAAGGAAGCTCACGCATGTTTAGTCCCTTGCCCGTCATGGCCACCTTCAACTTTCCTTGGAATAACCAAACATGTAGACTGCTGGGTAGTGGCGGCCACTGCTCCAAAAACCAGGGTGGAATGCTGTCCCCGATCGGAAGCCACCTTCCTGGGGTATGGTTTGTAGGGAAGGAAAGGACACGCTGGGACTTGAGCAGTGGTTTTGGGGAAGCCGTGGTCAATGAAGAGGGGTAGGCGGGAGGCTTGGACAAGTTGGGGATACCCAAGACTTGGCCTGCCCACCCCAGTGCAGCTCCCCATACTTGCCGCCCACCTGCAGGCTTCCTTTCTACCCCCAGCTCAGTCCTGGACAACACAGGCCCCCCTGTGAGGCTGGGGATGGAAAGCTGCAGCTTGCTAAGGCACTGGTGGGTCTCTGAAACGGACCCACACCCCCGTGACAGGAGAGATGTCAACGTCTCTGCTTTGTACTCCATGGAGGTGAAAATATCAAGCTAGTGCACCTGATGATCTCACATCTGTAAGATGGCTTGGAAATAAACTGCCACGTTTTAATGTGAAGAAGGCATCAAGGACCAGGCTGGGTGAGAAAACACCTTTAGGATTTCTGAGAAATCTCAAAGGAAAGAGAGAGAAGAGGCATCCAGGTAGAAGAGCAGGTGGGCTGTTCTCCAAGGGGGGACAGATCAGCGCGTCACACTTGGTACCGTTGCATGCGGGCAGTTGAAACAGATCTGAAGAGCCCATAAAGTGGTCTGAGTGCTAGAGCAGAATGACGGGGGCGCTGAGCACTTGGCGTCATAGGACCACAAAAGTAAGAACAAGAAGAACATTGCTCTGTTCACAGCCTGCTCTGTCTGTGCTGGCAAACCAAAAATAAAAACAAAGCAAGCACCGAACTCAAGGGCCTTGGAAGCAGGCTGGGGCTCAGAAGGGGGAGTGCTGCGCCTGCAGGGCCCAGGTTGGTCCCAGCACCAGGACGGAGGAAGCGCCGGCACGGCAGTGGGTGCAAGTTAGAGAGCAGTGAGAAAAGCCTGTGGGAGACACCAGCAGCACGTAGTCACTGCTCTCAGTGGAGGGAGGAGCAGATGCACCCGGACAAGAGGAAGACTTCGGTGTCCTTGAGGACACAGCATAGTGTATTCGACCTAAGATTTGAGTAAATTTGAAATCACCGAGAACCATTTTCATTAAAAGCATAAATTGCTAAAATCATATCAAGAAATGAAGGAAACTGACATAGATGTATCTGCCTAAAAGTTGAACTAGTGGTGGGTGAGCTGCCCCTAGAAGTAGGCAGCAGGCCAGGACAAGTTAAAGGCCCGTATGATTCCCCTCAGGAAGCAGATGCCTGCATCAGGAGAGCTGCTCCCGAGCACCCAGGAAGACAGGTACCGCTGGCGCTCGGGCACAATAGTTACTCTCCACAAGCATAGGTGCTGCCGTGGTGCAGTGGGCCTGTCCCAGGAGCCCAGGGTGGTGCTGCATCTGCCCCCTGCTATGGGTGTGCTGTCGATAGGGCAGGCTTCCCGGTCGTATCTCATGATACTGAGAGCATGCTCTGGAAACATGGTTCAGCAGTAATCCAGCTGGAAAAGCAGGCTGTACCTGTACCCCCACAAAGAAGTTAGATCATATCACGGTGCCTCCAACAGTAGTGGTTTCATTTCAGTCCAGCAGTTAGGGGTAGGAGGTAAAACTGAGGAGAGGAAAGTACAGGTAATGCTTTGGTGATCTTGGGGTGGGAAAGGGTTTCTAAGATTGAAGCCATGAACCACAAGGAGGGTCAGTGGGTCTCATGAGGGCTGGGCCTGAGGAGAGTCAAAACCATGTCAAAATGGTGGTGGTTGGGCACTGGGCTGGGTTCAGCGGTAGAGCGCTTGCTTTGCACGTGGGAGGCACTTTGGTTCGATCCTCAGCACCACATAAGATAGATAAACAAAGTAAAGGTATTATGTCCTACTATAACTAAAAATATATATATATTTTTAAAATTTTAAATGGTAGTCATTGTTAATTAAAGGATCAATGTCTTTACTGTGGAAATGGACAAAGGACATTTTTAAGAAAAGATAGTTCAGAAAAGAAGAAAGCGAGGTAGCTAATAGATTTTTTATATTCTCTTTAAAAAGACACTGGCTTTGGCCTCTCAAGAGTGGTAGTTACAAAGTATTCCCAAGGTGTGGTGGTGAGCCTGGACACTCTGGGGGCTGAGGCAGAGGACTGTTTGGGACCAGCCTGGGCAGCAAAATTTTAAAAATAAAATCTCAAAAGCAGTTGGAGATCGTTAAGTCAACTGATGCATACACACCACGAAGCTCTAGCCTGTTGAGGTAGGAGCTCATGCGTGTGTGCAGGGACGTTGCTGGGGCACTGGAGCCTGCCAGGTGGGCAGGGATGGCACTCGGTGCATGTCCTATTGTTTGCCACACCTACCTGAGCTGCAGTTGGACTTGCCTGTGTTCACTCTGCTCTCCCCATGCCCCAGAGAACCCCGCCTGCCTCTGGGCCGCAGTTTGGCAGAAGCCCTGTGGAACAGGAAGTGGAGGCTCCCTGGGCCCGGCTCTGCCTGCTGCCTTGGCCTGCCACTTCAGCTGGGGCAGCAGTGCCTGCCTGGGAAGCACTATGGCGGGCCTACTTGCACAGGTCCTGACACTGTGGAGGAGCGGGTTTGGTGTGTCACGGGGTGCCCGCTATTCCTTGGGGCTATCAGGAGTGATCCCATCTGCTATGATCTGTAGAGTCCTAGGCAGAAGCAGCCTCCCTGTAACTAAGCGAGCTCAGGGCTGATTCTCTAATGTGGGAACTGGGAGCCCTGTCCTCCCCCAGGGTGTCAGCCTTGGTGAGGGAGGCAAGGATGGAGGCTGCAGGGTGGAAGGAAGTCTCTTGCCCCACTGTGCCTGGCTGTGGCCCTGCCTGCAAACCGTGGTGAAAGGCAGCTCCAGGGCTTTCATCCTAATGGTCTCTTTACTGATTGCTTCCTCTTCTAGCTTGAGGGAAGAGGTGGCCTGCCGCAATTGTCTTAAAATCCTTTTGTGTGTATCCTAGTCTGCTTGAGTGATTTCATTAATTAACGCTTAATGTGCATGTTTTTTTTCCCTCCCCCTTTAAAATGCCCCTGAATTCTTTGTTCCTTAGAAAGGTTGTGTTCCCACAGGCAATAAAGGGTGTGCTTTGTTAACTTTGTTTCAAGTGCATCGGAGAGAGGGGCTGAGAGGGGTGAGACCTTACATTGTGCCCCAGGCCGCATCTTAGATTCCACTCTAGAGCACTTTCCCAGCAGATGATGCACACATCTCTCTAAAAGAGGAGGCCTGTTTTAAACATAGCCACACCACAGTAAGATGGTAGCATTGCCTATCCCCACAGAGCCTGGGTTCAGTGCCCTGTGGTGCCCCAGTTGCCAGGTGTCAGGAATGGAGACAGACACCATATGGCACAGGAGGCAGCCTCCCTCCTGTGGCTTTTCCAGTGTGGCATGGGAAACCCATCCCTCAGCATTGGGCCAGGATGACTGCTGACAGTGGCTGTGTGTTACAGAGCTGGGCAGCACAGCTCAGTGTTCATTGTCCTCACACCACATGTGAGTGTGGGCCACGTGAGGCTCACGGAAGCCCCTTGCTGTGGCTTACCTGTGTCCCTCATAGGCAGTAGCTCACCATGTTTAGAAACCAGGCTCTGACTGCAGCTTGAGCTATTGGTGAGCTGTTTGTAACCCACTCTGGCCTTGTCTCAAGGAGGCAGAGCTCAGTGCTCCCCCGGCGGGTGGGGACTGGGACCACGCTCTCTTGTTGAGCTTGTGTTTCTCTTGTTTTCCCATATTCTAGGGAAAGGGCATCACCTGGACTCTTGTTTTGCCTGGCTTGAACTTCCTTGTAGGGGCAGAGCCTGGGCTGACGTGGTACCCAGCAACACGGTGGCTGAGTAAATGGATGAGTTCTGTGACTGTTGCTCTGTGAGAACAGTGTCTTACAGCTGGGATTTTTGAAAGATGATCCTTGCCTAGTGGAGTCGCATCCTATGCCTGCTTGTGCAGATTGTTACATGCTGAGCCAGGAAAAATTTTTTAAAGAAAAATGATTTGATCATTTAAAATGGCAAGTGACCCTGAACTGGTGCTCAGTAGGAGCGTCCCTGCTGTGGCCCTAGCTGACCTTTGTTCAGCGTAGGCCCCATCAGTCCTGACTTACCTGCGAGTCCAGTGTGAGCTGCCCCTATTGAACATGGCTTGGGAGCGCAGAGGTGTCAAACAGCACCCTTGGGCCCTGAGACGGCCCTTGCGCCCACAGAGCCCTGCATACGATGTGGCTCCACTGCAGATGCTACCTCCCACCCACCGACGCCTAAGTAAGTGTTAGGGCCGGGACGATTCAGCTCTGCGCGCTCGCTCCCTAAAAATGTGTCCACTTCTCACCTTCTCTCAATAGCTTCATTTGCTCCAATAAGCTTTGCAATCAAGGCCAAAGAAAATGATCTACTTCCCTTGGAAAAAAACCGAGTTAAGCTAGATGATGACAGTGACGATGATGATGAAGAAAGCAAAGAAGGCCAAGAAAGTGCTAGTAGTGCCGCCAACGCTAGCCCGGCCACAGCCCCGCCTTGTGTAGTTGTCGAGGAAAAGAAGCCCCCGCTTACCCAGGAGGAGCTAGAAGCAAAGCAAGGTTTGTCGATAGCTTTAAAGTTCTCAAAAGAAAGAAAAGACATAAGTATAAGATTTGTCTGCTAAGCCAGAAATTCCAAGGCTGCCACCTGGACCCCCAGCCACGGGGTTGGTGTAGCACATCTGAGTGTTTGAACACCCTCTGGAGCAGGCGCTTTGCTCCTCCGTAGCTTGGATACAGTGCCCTTGGCGGTGTGCTCAGAGCAGTCTGGTGCACCAAGTAGATGGCGCTAATGGAGGCTCACTTTGTGCATTGACAGCAGCCCCAGGGTGATGTGCTTGGCCTGGACTCCCAGCCCGAATTAACACACCAAGCTGGGAGCTGCCTTTTGTGAGGCTGTCTCAGCAGAACCATCGCCCTTGAAGATGATGCACTTTGGAGCCGATTTCTCAGCTCCAGCTCATCTTCATGGGTTACAGCGTGGCCCCTGCATACCTGACACGTGACCAGCAGCATTTAGGGGATCTCCTATAAATCTTCCTGCCCCTACTCCCAAATAAATGAAGTTCTGCATAAAAGTAGTTAAATAGCGTCTATATTTGTGGTCTCTGTCTGTTCTGACTGGCTCTCTTGAGTTGCCTTTTCTGTGTACACGAACAGGTCAGGCCACCCCCAACAGGTAGCTCTTTGGCCACAGCAGGCCTCCTGTCAGGAGCTGGCACCATACTGCAGCTGCCAACCCCAGCAGTGTGCTTGGTCTGTACATCCAAACCTGTACCTCCTGCACAGGAGCTCAACAGGTGTTGAGTCACGTGGAGCAAGGCTTTTCAGAGAGTGTCCCGTCTGCAAGGGTTGTTATGGTTGCACTAAGCCAGAGCCATCTTGGAGCTCCTGCTGGTTTGAAACCCACCAGCCTGCCAACTTTGAAAGCAGAGTGCCCCTCTTCAAAACAAGCCACTGTGATTTGCCTGCCCTGTCTGCCGATTCTGAAATCGGTGTCATGATCATAGCTGCACTGTGTGGGAGTTAAGACAGTAAGATACGATACTGCTTGTTCTAGACTCTTTTTTTTTCTCTGCCATTCCTTTAGCAAAGCAGAAGCTGGAGGACCGCCTTGCTGCTGCTGCCCGGGAGAAACTGGCCCAGGCATCCAAGGAGTCGAAGGAGAAGCAGCTTCAGGCAGAACGTAAAAGGAAAGCAGCCTTATTTTTGCAAACTTTAAAAAATCCTCTGCCAGAAGCAGAAGTTGGAAAGATTGAGGAGAGTCCTTTCAGTGTAGAGGTATGTTGAAGAAAGTCCGAGTTGGTGTTCTTGGGGAGTTTGGTAGGTGAAATCATATGATCACGGGCTCTCCCAACTCTGCAGTGTCCAACCAGAGGGAGGTGCTGGCCTCCCAGCTCCTGCCTCCTATGAGGCTGGGCCTCAACTATGAGCCTGCTGACAGCCCTGAGTGCACGTGTGCCATCCACCCCAGGTGCCGTCTGATGTTCTGCTCTTGGCCACCTCGAGGGCTGGCCAACAGGAGGACTTTGTGGGGGCTGCACAGGGTCTGTGGTGGGAACTGAAGCAGAGTCTTAGCCACCATCAGGCACATTGCGAGCTTGTGCTGGGGCAGGGAGTCCACACCAGGGTGTGCGCTTGGCTGAGGCCCAGAGGTGGATGTGCTCCCAGTCCAGGTTCCATAGCCAGCACCACAGGGGGAAAGTTGTGTGAGCATGGACAGCTGCTTTTCAAGCAGTGTGGCCAGGGACTCAGCCCCAGCGAAGATGTGACATGGTGCTTAGGAGCCTCCCCTACAGAAGGAGCTTAGAGCAGCACTGGGACCAGGGACCTCCATACCCTGACGACTTAGGCAGTGTGGCCATAGCATTCAGCAAGAGATCTGCTCTTTTCCCAGATGCATTGATTTAGAATCATTTAAATTGTGATTTTTCGGTCAGTCGCTTGGTGATTGGGGAGCCTTCTCATGGTGTGGGGGTCGAGTCAGGGCAAATGCTTTACTACCAAGCCATACCCAGCTCCAAGTCTTGTCTTTCAGATGCTTTATAGCAGTCCCACCTGAGTCTTGTTTGGTATTTACATCGTATTTCAGGGGTGTCTGAGAATAGGACAGGGGTGCAGCTCAGTGGCAGAGCCCCTGGGTTCGGTCCTCAGCACCATTTTGGCATGAGCTCCTTGAGGGGTGTTGTCCCCTGCCTTCCTCAGAGTTCTCCATAGACTGGCCTGTACCCGCGGGTCCCTGGCTCTGGTGAGGGAACAGTAGGCACCACCTGAAGGCTGTCAGGCAGTGACTAACGCTAAGGTACTTCTGGTGCTCTCCGAGGAGAAGCAGGAGGTGCGGCACCTGCACTTCCTGGTGAGTTGAGGAGCTGGTGCAGGCAACAGGAGGGAGAAGCCCAAGAGAATCCGGAGCTGCTCTGATGGCAGGGCTGCGGGGGGCTGGTTTAAAATGGGGCCTGTGTTCCCATCAATGTACTAGAGGGAAAGGTTCCCGAGGGACATTTGCAGGCAGAGACTCGGGCCAGTTGTGTTGTACTTAAGCCCCAGAATGCTCCAGGGCATGGTGTCCTAGTGGGAACACAGTCACAGCTGCCAGAAGTGTCCCTTCCCCGCAGCGTGTCCTCTACGGGGCCTTTTGTCTTCCTGTGTTCATCTTGGTTTGGGCTGTGCTTCGTGGAAGTGATTTGAGTGTCCAGATCTTTGGGTGGCTCTTCCTGGATAGGCATCCTTCAGCTCACAGCCATTGAGCCTTTTCAGCATAGATGCAGTGGTAGCTGCAGATGGTGATGGCTGTCTCAGTAGCCCTGAAGCAGAGGTACTTGTAATTAAATTGACAGTTGTCATGAGCAAGAGTCAAGCTCAAAGATACTTTTAGCCTGGGTCTGGGGATGGAGCTCAGTTGGTAGAGCACTTGCCTCGAATGCCCAAGGCCCTGGGTTCAAGCCCTAGCACCACAAAGGAAAAAAAAATTTTGTGTGTGTGTATTTAGCCCAAGCCGAGCATTGTGGCACACACCTATAATCCAAGTGACTCAGGAGGCCAAGGCAGGAGCATCACAACTTCAAGTCCAGCCTGGGCAACTTAGCCAGACCTCGTCTCAAAAAAATATAGTTGGTTGCATAGCTCCATGGCCAAGCACTCCCACTTCCATCCCCAGAACCACAAAAGGGGGAACCAGGAACGTGGCTGGTGTGAGCACTTGCTGGCTCCATCCCCACAGTTGCAGATAGTAAATGTATGTGTTTAGAGCCCAGGGGACTTGAGACAGGACCAGATGTGGCCACTGGTACCCCTAGGTGAGGCAGTGTGAGGCACTGCCAGATGGCCATAGCTGTAGCCAGCTGAGCAGGCACTGAGTGCAAGAGGACCCTGCCAGGAGGGGAAGACACGCTCCGAAGGCCGGGCACACGGCCTGGCTGCAGTGCTCCTGCCTTGTCTTAAGGCTCCCTGGAGCAGCCCTGGTGCTGCTCACATGTTTTAAGGACAAGCACTCCCCTGTGTTTAGTGTGCTGTAGGCTGGGTTGGTCTGGGCTCTGTAGTTGAACACCCCCTGGGTTCAGTCCCTGGTACCAAAAAAAAAAAAAAATTTAAAAGAAAGAAAAGTGCCCTTATTGAACATCATTTGGGATGGTGTCTTACAGTGTGCACGTTGGCCTAGACTGGTATCAACAGGACACTGGTACCCACAAGCCTGTGCGTGGACTGTCTTTGTTCTTGGTGTGTGTCTGTCTTCTTGAAACAAAGACAGGGATCGTGGATGCCCACCCTTCTGGATTACTACTAGTCAGTACTAGTCGTAAACATTTTAGGGCTTTTTGGATTCTAGTAATTCTTTTTATGCTGTTAGTCCGGTCGAATAGAACTTGGAAAGGAAATGGTGATAGAAGTCAACCTGTTTGCGAGACTGTGGGCTTCAGGATCTGAGGCTGTGGGCATGTGGACCAGCGGCCGTGCTGTCCTGTGTACACAGCCAGCAGTGGGGTGGTGGTGAGCCTGGGCCTCTGGCCAGTTGCCCAGGGGTGAAGTACTTGGGCAAAGCTGGAAGAGGTGGCAGTGGCCAGCAGTTTGTGGGGCACCCAGCATGCTGAGCACACATGGCAGCCAAGAGCAGCCTGGCCACGCCTGCCTGTGGAGTGGGTAGGGTGGTGGGAGGTGCAGGAGGCAGGCAGTGCAGATCCAGGAACACCCATTGTGGTTTGTCAGCCTGTGGGGCGTGGGCAGTGGGTGTTCCGTGTTCATAAGTGATTTATGCAGGAGTCCTCCAAAATTCCTCCATAGTTTGGGCTTTGGGCTTTTTTTTTTTTTTTTAAGAGAGAGAGAGAGAGAGATTTTTTTTTAAATATTTATTTTTTAGTTTTTGGTGGACACAACATTTTTATTTTATTTTTATATGGTGTTGAGGATCGAACCCAGCGCCTCATGTATGCCAGGCAAGCACGCTACCACTTGAGCCACATCCCCAGCCCAACTGTGGTCATTTTTGCTGGAGTGTTAAAATCCTTTCTGAAAAGGCAGCTTTAGTTCCTGGGAGACCCATGAAGAGTCAGTGCAGCAGCTGCTAATCTTGCCTCTGTGGCTTGGGCAGCTTCTTCCTGCCACTCTCCATAGGCTGGGCCAGACACCCTCAGACCCCAAGCAGCAGCAGTGCTGGCACTGGGTTGGGGTGTGGTCCAGATTTAGATAGTGACCACTTAATTTTCCTCCAGTTGCTCATATGTGTAGTTGGCAGGGGAGCCGGGATGGGGGTTGTCTTGTTTTTCCATACTGTGGTTGTACCCTGGGTGCTCTTCCATGGAGCTAAGTCCCCAGCCCTTTTTTTCGCTTTTTACTGTGAGACAGGGTCTTATTAAGTTGCTAAGACTGGCTTGGAACTTGTGGTCCTCCCAACTCAGCCTCTCCAGTCATTGGGATTACAGTTGTGCACTACCACCCAGTTAAGAGTAGTTTCGGTTAAGACAATTGGGAATCCGGAATCCTTAAACAAGGCAGTGTAAATGTTAAACAGTGTAAGTTGTCATTGACATTGACAGTTATTTTTGGGTATACACTACAGTATGGGGTTTCTAGCCACACTGACTGATTTGATTAACATCAAGTAGAGTGAGGATTCCATCCTTTGTGTTGCTAGCCACATCAGGTACGGTGGCCTCATGTGTTGAATGCGGTGCCTGTGGTTGCGCTCACCAAGGACAGACCGGCTTTTGCATCAAAGCCTAGAAGGAGCAGCTAACTAGGTGCTGATTCGGCCTTGACATTGTTTCTCTACAGTTTTCGAGCCCACCAGTGCCTGTGGTCCCAGCTACTTGGGAGGCTGAGACTAGAGGATCATTTGAGCCCAGAACTTGGAAATCAGCCTGGACAACACAGAATGACTTGTCTCAAAAAAAAAAAAAAAAGAATCCCAACAGTTGTGAAGTCTTGATCGTAGAGTTGGACCTGGCTGTGATAACACGTCAGCGCCTGTCCGAATCCCCCAGCCACTTACGCAGACACAGCTCTGCTCACCTGCCGGTGGCGAGGGCTGCCGAGAGGCCACTGTGGCTGCCTGTTTCCACCTTAACAGGGAAGGACAACCATCTCTTTAGAATAAGTAGACCCTCAGCTCGTATCCTGAAGGTCTCGTTTCAGACCAACCCCTCCCTTCAGTGGAGCCGCAGCCTCAGTGGGACAGAGGTTGGCAGGCTGTGGTCAAGCAGCTCGTGCCCCTGCCCTGCCCACCTGGTGTGAGGGCAGAGGGTGAGGAGTGACATGCTCCACTCTGGGAAGCCCCATCCCTCCTTTCAGAATTGCCTTTGGCACATGTTAGGAAGCCTCAGGTGCCATCAGGGTTCGTGGGGGCTCCCACATCTCATGCAGGGTGCACTCCTTGCACTCTGAGACTGCTGGCCTTTCTGAAGGACACAGAGCTGGTTTTTCTGGCAGTCCAGCATCCTCGAGCTGTCCCACACCCAGCCTGCCTCCCCCTTGCTCACCTTGAGAGGTACTGCGCTCCGCCTGTTCACCATGCTGTGCCTCTGCACACAGGGACACAGGTGAAGCTGCAAAGCAGCTGCCTATGATTTAAGACATCATTTATTAGTGTGTATGCGTTGGAATGTTTACATATTAAACTCTTGTAACAGTGAGATAGTTTTATACTAAACCTGAAAAAAATATTATTCTAATAGAATTTGAGAAAGATCTTTTTGACAAGAACTGGCCCACGTTGAAATGGGTTCCCTTGAGAAATGGTCTCTGGAGATATTAGAAAATTCCTTACTATCTGGGTATGGTGGCCACTCCGTGATCCCAGAGACTCAGGAGGCTGAGGCAAGAAGCTTACAGGTTCCCAAGCCAGCCTCAGAGACTTATAAAGAGTCTGTCTCAAAATGAAAGACTTGGGATGTAGCCGAGTGGTGGGGCACCCTGGGTCCGTCCCCAGTACCAAAAAGGGCTGGGGATGTGGCTCAGTGGTTAAGTACCCCTGAGTTTAATCCCCAGTACCAACAAAAAAAAAAAAAAATAGCAAACCTGGTAGGAGAGGGAATATACTGGGGAGTGAGATTGATCAGATTATCATATTCATGTGCCTGTCTGAATGTGGCATGATGAACCCCACTAATGTGCTCCAATGACAAACAAATCTAAGAGAAATAAGCCTGCACGTAAACAGACACGGAAGCCACCTTGCAGATAGGGGTGCGGGGCCATCTGAAGCCTGTGCTCCACAGCCCCAGTGACTGAGTTCCTTTAATGAGAATGGACATGTGCTGCCACTGCTGCCTTGGGAGCCTCTGCTTAGTGTGCAGGCGTGTAGAGATGCACACCAGGTGTAGGCAGCAGGGAGGCTAGAGGGTCTCACATCTTGAAGCAGCCAGCTCCAGTGGCCGTTGGATCCTAGACAATTGCCTGCCTCACAGAACACCCCTGACTGGCTCTTCCTCTCGGAGCTGCAATGAGAAGCAGGCTCTGGAAGTGGCCTGTGAGAGGCCCACCCAACTGCCCTTGTCAGGTGGTCTCCAGGGAGGACAGCCACTCACCAGGCAGATTCCCAAATGCCAAGCCAGCTGCTGACAGTGTCTCTGTTGAGGGCCCCTGTGGTGTCCAGGGACACATTCCACAAGCCCCTCAGTAGAATTCCAAGTGAGAAGTTTTTAGAGGCTTCAACATTTGGTCAGAATCTGCTTTCAGCTGAGCTATGGCCTGAAAATGCAGCTGCCCCTCTGGGGAGGCAGCTGCCCTACATCTGGGTACCATGTTCCTGCTGTGAGGCTCCCTGCAGTGCAGTGAGACTTGTGCACCCTGGAACATGCCTCTGTCACCCAAAGTTTTCCTGCACTCCAAGAGGTACCTCCTCCTCTGGTTAAGACTTGCAAAAAATTGCATTCGGATCTATGAAAACCCTCGTATTGGAGATTTACAGAATCTGTTTCAGTGGCATTGAATAGCAAATATAGAATTTTTAACATAGTGACTTCAATACTGTGATGGGGAGTTACTGTGCAGGAAGAGCCTGTGGGGTCCGTGTGCCCTTTTGGTGTAAGGTGTGTGCTGTGGTCCTCCTGAGGGCTGAGCTCTCAGAGAGGCAGTACTTCCTGAGAGTGCAAGGCATCTGCGTGTGAGGGACCCAGAGCTGCTCTCGTGTGGTCTGTGTTCTAAAACATCCTGTTGTCCCGTTTGCTTCTGTTCTTAGGAAGCCAGTGCTGTGCCCTGTCCTGTACTGACTGGAGGCAGACCTCTGCCTACTTTAGAAGTGAAGCCACCAGAAAGGCCTTCAAGCAAAAGCAGAGATCCACCGAGAGAAGAAGAAAGAGAAAAGAAAAAGAAAAAGCACAAAAAACGGTCTCGAACTAGGTCACGCTCTCCCAAGTACCATGCATCTTCCAAGTCCAGGTCTAGGTCACACTCAAAAGCCAAGCACGCACTTCCCAGTGCCTACCGGACAGTGCGGCGGTCGAGGTGGGTGTGCAGGGCAGTGCCCAAAGCCCTCCTGTCTGTGGATCCTCTTCCTGCTGGTGCCAGTAGAGCTAGGCAGAAAGCTTAGCTGCAGCCCCATGTGCCTAGGCAGATGTGCATGTGGGTGTCTGTGTCCTGTAGATAAGTCCTTCAGCCAGGCGTGGTGGCCACACCTGGGATCCCAGTGGCTCAGGAGGCTAAGGCCGGAGGACAGCAGGTTCTACTCCAGCCTCAGCAACCTTAGCAGGATCCTGTCTAAAAAAAATTTAAAAGTTGGGGGTGTGGCTCAGTGGTTAAGTGACCCCAAGTTCAATTCTCAGTATAAAAAATTAAATAAAGACTAAAATAACTAAATAAGACAGGCCAAGATGTGGCTTTGTGGTAGAGCACTTGCCAAGCATGCATGAGGCCCTGGGTTGAGTGCCCAGCACCAAAAAAGATCACCAACTACTACCAAGCAAAAAAAAAAAGACGAAGAAAGGGAAAAGTGAAAGCTTTATTTAAATTGTAACAGGTCAGGAAAGCAGGCCTGGCATAGTGCTGAGTGTGAGAAGGTTCGCAGGGTGGCGTGGGTCTCCTGTTGGTATGAAAGTCTCCTCCTGGTTTCTTTTGAGCGTACAAATTTCAGAACAGAAGAAATCTCTGTTGCTTGGTTCATGCTTGAACGAGGCAGAAGTACAAATTTGTCTTCTCATTTAATCCCTCTGCTGTCCCAGCATCCCACTGTTGAACAGAGCCTTCTTCAGGATCCAGTTCTGAGAAGGCAGTAAACACTGGGGCCAGCGCCTTCCAGGGCCTCAGAGCTTACTGCCTGGTAAAACCTCTTAAAATGAAGTACAGCTGTGGCTAGCTTGCCAGAGGCTCGGGCATGGCCCATCCCTAGGGCTCATGCCTTTGGATCTGTCACATTTTTTCTCACACAGCTCTCACATTGCTGGTGCCTGGTGTTTCTTTTTGGAGTCACTGTCATCTCTCCCATAGGAAAAATGCAGATGCCCTGCACTCTTAACTGTTGAAAACCATATGCCCATTTGCCTCTGTGCTGTGTCCCTGCCCAGGACATTCACATAGGCCTGGGGACCTATGTGTGCCTGTCTGTGTTGACCTGGACCTGCCTTCCTGACAGGTGGACCTGATCATCTACTTCCTGTCATTACACTCGGCAAAAAAAAAAAACAACATACAAATCTTGTTGTTTTTTTAATTAAATTAACAGCCCTGCTAACATACTTTTGATATATTTTTTTTAAGCCCCAGGAATTCTGAAATTTAAAAAATTGAAAAAGTTCCTTTTGCCATTACGGAACTAAAAATATACGCGAGTTGACCAGGCCCCACTGCAGCACATGCAGGGATTTCTTCCCGGTTTCCTTCCCCTCTGGCTCCGACAAGCAAAAATAATTCATTGTGATCCCTGCTCGGGGGCCAGTGATGAAGGTCCCGTGCCCATCTGAGCTATGGGCTCTCCTCTGGCTCCACAAGTGGTGTGGGTGAAGCACCTGGCACCTGGGGCTGCACATGCCCTGCCTGCCTAGCTTGGTGGGGTTCCTTGGCCTCAGGCTGTGCCCAGGTGGGTTCTCATGACCAAGAGCACCACCCAGCACAGGCGCTGTAGGGCTGTGGGTCTGTGTCCTTATCATGGACTGAGTGCTAACACGGTAACTTGGGGATTACTTGATCTTCCTTAATGTGTTTATATCTTAGATAAGAGGTGGGCAAGTGGCCGTTTCCTCATTATGCTTTCTGTCCGATGGTAGGCTGCCAGTTTCAGTCAAGGAAAAGAACAGCTTTATCATATCATAAAGTACATGTGATAATATCATGAAACAAAGCCTTCCAGTGAGCTCTGTGCCCAGAGCTGGCACCTGCTGAGTGCCTCTCCGTAACTGCCTCTCCTGCCTGGCAGTCCGGGCACCCCCCTGGACCCTCACACCTGGACCCCACCTCGTCTCTTCCTTCAGAAGATAATGGCATGTTCCAGGGGCAGATCTGCTGGCTCCACCTGAGCCCTGCCAGCACTCTCCATTCCTGGAGCCCGAGGGGAGTTAACACACTGCAGTCCTTGGGCTGGGTGTGGCTCAGGGGTAGAGAGCTTACCGAGTGTGTGCGCAACCCTGGGTCCAACCCCAGCATCACCAAAAGCCACAGTTGTAAATAAGATAGGAAAGGGTGGTGTTCTCTCCCATAATATGTATTATTGATGTGTTAAAAGACAACTAAATTTTAACCAAAATATTGAAAGTGCTAACTTCTGCCAGCTCCAAGTGCAATACTACACCAGGCACAGTGGCCCTGGCCTGTGATCCCAGCAACTCGCAAGGCTGGGGCAGGAGGATTGCAAGTTTGAGACCAGCCTCAATAGCTTAGTAGACCCTTCTCAAAATTTTTTAAAAGTTGGAGATGGGGCTGAGGTATCAAAAATTAAAAAATTCAACACCACAGTTCTTAGCATTTCTGATTGTGGTAGGGTGCTTCAGCTGAGGTTCACACTGTGGAGTCAGGTAGCCCCTGTAAGGTGCGGTGGGGTGAGACTGGGAAGCTCTTTCTGTCCCAGCAGGTCTGTTTGTGGGCTGCTTATCTAGCTGAAACCCCTGTCACTCAAGACGTCCCAGCCATAGGTGGCTTCAGACCTCCAGAGGCGAGTTATGGCAAAAATCTTTAGTTTCACAAAACCCGTGTGTTATTTCTCAAGAAGCTTGCTGGTTTGGTTTTTGTTCATTTATTTTAATTTTTTTCGTAGTTGTAGATGCACACAATACCTTTATTTTTTATTACTTATCTTCATGTGGTGCTGAGGATGGAACTCAGTGCCTCCATGTGCTAGGCAAGCGCTCTACTGCTGGGCCCAGCCCAGCCCGCTCACTAGTTTTGACGAGGTGATACTCAGCATCTTAGCCAGCACTGACTGACGTGTAAGACTTCCTCACCTGTGCTGCAGCTGGTTTTATCTGTGTTTTCATAAGGTCCGCTGTTTTAATGGAAGGAAGAAGTACTGATGTAGTTCACTCGTAAAATTCAGTATGGATTCAGTGTTAAGTGTCATTACACTGAATTAGTAAGGCTGGTGCTTGATCCTCCACTAGCCTATAAGCCTTGGTAAGCTCCCTTGGTGTTCCTCTGGTGTCTGGGGCTCAGCCGTGGGTTCTGAACAGGTCTTCAGGACTTCCCCATGCAGAGGATCTGTGCAGTAAAGATGTGTTTTTTTCCCAAAAGTTAGCTCCCAATGTACCTTAAGGGGGTTAATATGACTTTTTTGAAAACGACTGTATTTAATGTTCAGAAATAACTCAGGTAGGCAAAGTTAAATCAGATGTAATTTTTTTTATATTCATTTTTTAGTTGTTGACAGGACACAATATCTCTCTTTCCCTTATTTATGTATGTATTTATTTTATGTGCTGCTGAGGATTAAACCCAGCACATGCTAGGCGAGGGCTCTACCACTGAGACACAACCCAGCCCTAGATGTGATCTTTACTGTCCTTACTCCCCATGATAAAGTGCACAGCAAAACAGTAAAAGATAATTCTGTGTCTCAGTCCTGTTTTTTAAAGAAGAAACCGGGTGCTTAAAGTGCCCCGGGTGGCACTGGTTAACATGCCAATCTGGGTGGTCACTAATGTCAGATGAACTGTGAGCACACACAGGTGCCAGGCGTCTGCACCTCAGCCTCAGAGAGATCAGCCACGTGAGCATGGGAGCTGCCAGGCAAGAGTCTCCTTGTGGTTGGGTTGAGCTGGGCTGGCTGACCCCAGCTCCCAAGTCCCCGAGTCACCTGTTGCCGAGACCTGTGAGCAGTGAGACGAACAAAGCAAGTACCCCACACAGGTGGTCTGGAGTGAAAAGAGGCCACTTACAAGTGTGGCCACTGCATTCAGATAAAACTTCTGGAATTTCATCCTTGGAGAAAGTCTCCCAATGCCCTTATTTTTTGAACAGACCATTGGGATTTGTGCAAGAAGTGTTAAGGTCATCTGCTTTCGTCAAAGTCTCTGGATACATGGGACGATTGGCTGACAAGTGGAGTGCCTTTCCTGGCACTGAGTCATGTCACTGTGAAGAGCCCACTCGACAGAATGGAAAGCATCAAGTGTCCTTCCTTAAAGTGAGACCTGGAGAGCTCTGGGCTATTGCCCAGCTCTAAGGGGCTCCTTCCCGAGGTCGTGGAGACTGCTGGGAGCTGCCCCTTCCCTCTGAAGAGTGTGGCTGCAGGCACTGGGCTCATCGTCTTTCCTGATCTTTGAGTGCGTGGTAGAGCTCTGTCCAGCATCCTGCAGGCATGAAGGCTCTGCTCAACCAAATACTTTCCCCATTCTGTAGTGCCCGGCCCAGCTTTACACACTGAACGAGAAGTGTGTGCCCTGAGCAGATGCACCAGCAGCCCAGCAGGAGCGCTCAGGCAGCCTGGCCTCCAGCAGACCTGACCGCCGGAGCTCTCGTGGGGCACCTGGCAAGACGTTACGGGCTCTGCCTGGCCCTGGCATCTGTTGTGGGGAGCCCGGGGACATTTCCGACTCACAACACCTTCCAGAGGTCCAGCAGAGAAGACCTTGCAGCCTCCTTATGTTGGAGCAGGCTTATCAGGGCCAGGGTGCTTCCCGTGACACCAGAGGGTAGATGCCATAGTGAGCTGGTCTTCGGAACCATGTTGTGTGTTGCTTTGGGTTTTTACCATAATTAAAATGATTTAGTGAAAAACTTTTTAAGTGGCAAAATCCAGCTGCTCTTTATCTCTTTTCTGGATGGGTGGTCATGGAGATGGCCTGGAGAGAAGAGATCCCCTGCCAGGGTATATGCTCATTGCAGACTTTTCCTGAAATGGTACTCTCGCTGAGTTAACAGTGAAAAATCCCCAAAAAAAGGTGTCATTTTAACCTTGGCTGTCCCAAGTGAGAAAGGGTCTGGAGGGTCTTTCTGGCTATGTGTGGATCATGTCATGACATGGATAGAAGGAACCTTGTTTTAGACACAAGGGAAGGGCCAGTAAATATTCGGGGGTGATTTTGCATCCATGAATCCCATGAACTTGGATTACTTAGCCTAGACTGTCAAGACGGCATGCTCTGGGCCAGACGAAGGTGGGGCTCTGAGCCAGCAGACCTGACATGTCCCTGCCTGCTCCTGCACAGGCCATGAGGTCTGGAGTGCCGGGCACCCAGTGCCTTTCCTCTGCAGAGGTGAGGGCCATGTCTGTGAGCGCCAGTCCTCGAGCAGGAGGAAGGAGGTCCAGCATTCTGAGCTGGCCGGGTGGCCTCCTCAGGTGTTTGGCAGTGGTAGCCTCCAAGACTGACACCTGGGTACAGCGCTGTGGAATGGGCAGAGGCATCTGCCTCCTGGGGTGAGGCTAAAGCTGGTTGGCCAGAGTGGGCATCTGCTGTGGGCACCCTGCAGGCTAAGGCAAGAGAGAGTGCACACCAGGGGACCAGACAGCAGAACTGAATGCCACGTTACTCTGTCCAGGTCACGCTCCCGGTCCCCTCGGAGGAGAGCTCACTCCCCTGAGAGACGGCGGGAAGACAGGAGCGTCCCTACTGCCTACCGCATGAGCAGCAGCCCCGGAGCCAGCAGGAAGCGAACTCGATCCAGGTAGGCTGCTTGGGTGTCCTGGGTAGAGGGGTCTAAAGCTGTGTCCACCTGTGTCACTAGCTGCCCAGGATGACGGCCGTAGTCTCCTCAACAGCACCGTCACTGGGAGCACTGGGGCCTCCATGGGGCTAAGGCACAGCCTGACTTGGGAGCTGGTTTCCCTCAGCACAGCCCTGAAGCAGGACCCACAGACAACGCCTGCCCCCTTGCCAGCAGCAGGAACAGAAGGAGGGGTAGACCTCCCAACCTGGTGGCCTCGGGTCTCACGGGGAGTTGGTGCCTGGGCAGTATATGACGGTGCCAGGGCTGAGGCTGCCGCTCCCAAAGGGGCAGTGTCCTGTGGGTGCCTCCTGAGCACTGATTCAGCTGCTCCTGGAAAGCCAGGCTGGTGTCCACGTTTAGGACAGGGTGTGCTGAGCCCTGGCAAGATGGAGTCCTGGGTTCACCCCAATGCCAAAAGATATAAAAACAGACGTGGAAGCCACCCTCCCAGACTGCCTCAGCTCGTTTCAGGCAGAATTCTGCTCTCCGGTCAAGGACCCAAGGTAACAGCTTTTAAGAAAAGGTTGGGGCTGGAGATGTGATTCAAGCGGTAGCGCACTCACCTGGCATGTGTGGGGCGCTGGGTTCGATCCTCAGCATCACATAAAAAATAAAAATTAAAGATGTTGTGTTCACTAAAAACTAAAAAAATAAATATTTAAAAGAAAAGAAAGGTTTACTTTGGCTCAGTTTGGGAGGTTTTAGCCCAGGCTGTGGTGAGGCAGCACACAGTGGGAGTGCAGAGTAGAAACTGGGCCTCATGCCCCAAAGCAGAGGATCCTTCCAGGGGTGCCCCCCACCCCTCATAGGTCCACCCTGGTAAGCAAACCTTTAGCTTGTGGGCCTCTGGGGGGCACTCCAGCACTGAATGTTAGTGGCCCCCAGCAGTGGCCAACAGTCTCCTCCTGGCCACGGGGAGTGCTATCTGGGAGCAGCCCCTTCCAAGGCTCAAGCTCATGCCACCTAGCTGATTGGCATTGTCCCAGGGCACATCTGGAGCCCAGTTGCTACCCACCACCAGGGACAGCAGCTGGGAGTCTCTTAATAGATAAAACCTGAGCTCCTTTTTTTGAAGCGGAGCACAGGCAGAGGAGCTGGCAGCTGGCGGGGTCAGAGCCCCCTAACACACACGCTCTGGTTACGTTTTGTGCTGTGGTGATCTTGCCAGGTATCCCGGCTGCCTGGCATGTGGAACTCATTCCTGAAGCCAGCAGCGAGCCTTGAAATTTATTACCACCTCAGACACGTGAGGAGAGGATCTAAAATCTATTCCTGTAGCAAAAGATCTCTGAACACAAGAGTTCTCACTTTGTCCTCAGCTTGATTTTTACATTAAGAGGAGTGATGGACGGCGGTGGTTAAGGGTCTGCCTGCACAGGTGGGAGGCCCAGGGCCTTCCGGCGTGGTCTCATGAGCTCCGCGGACCCCAGGACTGGGTTCTGACGGCAGCCCTGCAGAGGGACAGCCCTCTGGACACCTCTGCATTGCTGAGAGCTGGCATCAGAGCTGAGAGCTGGCATGTGCCCCCACATGGCCTGAGCTGTTCCTGTCTGAGCATGGTCAGCCTGGGGGCTGGTTTTTCAAGTGGCTTGCGAGCACCCCTGTGCCCACCTTCTGCAGCTCAGGCCCACACGCATCCCTTGCTCCCCCACACACCTGGATGTGGGTTGTGGCTTTGACATGTTTGGGGAAGCCAGACCACAGCCTTGCCAGAGGTGCTCCTCCCATGCTGTCTCTGGCAGGGTGCTGCCCAGGGTCTCGGCAACAACCCTGCGTGGGTGCGGCTGTGCAGACTCCCTTGTATCACGCCCGAGACACATGTCCATCTGTCATTGTCAGTGATGTAGAGTCAGGCCACTCTGCTGAGGTCACTCCCGCCTGCTTCTGGATCAGGGAGAGGTCTTTGGGGTGTCCTGTGGTTCCGCAGCACCCTGTGCCAGCAGCTCTGCTAGGGTTGCACTTGGATGGCGCCTGCGCAGGCAGGTGGCTGGGCAAGAGCAACTCCCGTTGCTGCTCGCCCTTCTTCCTTAACCCGCTTGACGTCACAGCAGGTCCTAGACCTGGGGTCTGTCGTCCTCGCTGGCCAAGTGGGTGCCCCTGGCCTTGTACTCTTGGATGGTGCGTTGTTTCAGGCTAGGCTGTGGAGCCCTGGACCCGTCCCTGCCTCCTTGGACACGTCCTCCCACTGCTCTCCGGGCACTCTCCTGCTTTGGCCTGAGCTGTTCCTGGTGCTTCCTGCCTGCACCCTGGGTCAGCCATCCGAGGAGAGACTTCTTGTAGCGATGAGTGGAAGTTCACACCTGGGCCAGGTGGAACAGTATTCATAGGAAGTGTTTTGAGCACACTGTTTAAGCCTCTCAAGGATGTTGGTGAAGTCACTTCAGCAGGGAGTCGAGGCTGCCTTATTAAAGCAGGTAACAGATGACAGTGATGGTGCTTTGCCATTGAACCTGCAGGAGGCTCTGTGCTCGGCCTGCAGAGGAGTGCTTGGCCAGCAAGTGCAGGACATGGCAGCTGCCAAGGGGCCTCAGGTCATGAGGCCCTCCTCCCTCAAGGCAGCTTGATAATGAAAGGAAGTGTCGTCCCCAGAGCAGCAACCAGGAAGTAGCCAGGAAGCCAGGGGGGAGCGAGAAGCAGGGCCACAGCCCTGGGAGCCACAGCACTGTGGCAGCCGCCCTGGGCCCAGTGGTTTCGGCAGGTCCAGGAGGTGCAGGCAGGTTCCTTCACCACGCACCACGCCACAGACCCTTAAAGAACCTGGAGAATCCCAAGTACTTGGAAATTCAGCAATATAACTCTACGGTCACTTTTGATGGAAGAAAAGAGCAGTTAAATAATTACCTTTTCTAGTACTAGGGATTGAACCCAGGAGTATCCCCAGTCCTTTTAATTATGAGATACCAGAATCTCACTAAGCTGCCCAGACTGGCTTCAGGACTGGATCTTCCTGCCTCAGTCTCCCACAGCCGGTTGGAAGTTATTTATGTTACAAGAAAATAAAAGTGTAGAAGCAGTGATCCAGTTGAGCTTAAGAAGCCTGAAGAGGAGCTGGGCACAGTGGCCATGCCTGTTCTCCCCATGCTCAGGAGGCTGAGGCAGCAGGATTGAGAGCTCAAAGCCAGCCTCAGCAACAGCGAGGCACTAAGCAACTCAGTGAGACACAATAGGGCTGGGGAGGTGGCTCGGTGGTCGAGTGCCCCCCGAGTTCATTCCCTGGAACCAAAAACAGGAGCTGAAAAAGGAACAAATCAAACTCAAATAGAAACAAGAAGGGATGCAAGAAAGACCAGAACTAGAGATGGACAGAGCCCTGGAAGAGTCCAGAATGGGAGACCCTGTGGGACAAGGAAATGAAACTCACTGAGTTAATTCAGCAGCTTAGATAAAGTAAGTTCCTTAAAGGAACAGATGACCAAACTGACATCAGCAGAAGCAATTCCCCTGGAAGTGTCACATCTGCCGAGCTTTCCACTAGGCCCCAGCCAGGCAGCCTCCCCAGCAAGACAGTCAGGAAAGAAGGGGACGGTTGCCACTCACCTCACGAGGTCACCACAGCTGACCCCTGAAACAGGCAGGGACTCTGAGTGCTTTCTCAGGAGCCCAGGTGCACTTGCAAGGGCTGGGCGCTGGGCTGGCTCAGGCTGAGCAGGTGCCTGGCCTGCACGAGGGCCAGGTTCCATCCTCGGCACCCAACAGCAGGAGGGGGGAGCACACTGGCAGACACTGACAGAGCTCTCCTCCCCAGAGTGACCCACAGACCCAGTCCAGCTTGAGCAAATACCCCAAGCTTTTTGTGGAAATTCACACAGAAACCCTAAAACTTGTATGGAAACACAAAGGACTAGGAAAAGCCAAAACAATCTGGGAAAAGAATAAAAGTGAAGGACTTTGACCTCAGATTTCAGAAATTACCAGAAAGTACAGCAGTGTGGGCAGTGTGGTATCAGTATGAAGGTGTGCAGAGGGAGGAGGACCAGGTGACTACCTGTATGGCCATGATTGTTGCCCAAGGTGCCAAAACTGTTCACGGAGGACAGGAAAGACCTTCCCACAAAATTTGCTTGGACAACTGCGTGTCATAATGGAAAAAAAAAAAAAACACCCTGCCCAAAAGTCACTTCCAGGGGGATCGCCACACTGGACATAGAAACCAGAACATTGAGCTTCTGGGAGAAAACAACACGTGTGACTAAGGCTCCTTAGGATATAGAGAATGCTATCATTATGAGGAAAACCTGTGAACCCACTGCAAGTGAAATTTCCCCTAGGAGGCACAGTTGGGAAGAGTGGGCACAGTGGCCATGCCTGCATGCCCAGTGACTCAAGGGCTGAGGCAAGAGGATGGCAAGTTCCAAGCCAGCCTGGGCCACCTAGCAAGATCTTGTCTCCAAGTGTTAGGAAGGGGCTGGGTTTGCAGCTCGGGGAGATGGGTTCAATCCCAGGGCCACAGATGTGAAGCAGAAAGGAGGAGGGAGGGAGGGCAGGCCCCAGACTGGGAGGAGAGCAGAGGCCTCGCTGATGCTTCACAGGACAACATGTACGGAGCCCATGAGTGCAGGGGAGGTGCTCGGCCTCTTCGGTCACCCAGAAAGTGCCCTGGAGACCAGGGCAGTGTCCGCTGTGTTGGTGGACTGGACTGACTTGGTGACGTGGCCAGGATGTGCTCAGTGGTGCTGGCAGGCAAAGAGTGTACTCACACACACACCCCACAGCCTCACTGCTCATTCCAGGCACTGACCACACAGCAGCTCACAGACAGCTCCTCCGGCTGTCACAGGAAGGAGAAGGAACACATGGCCCTGTGGCACTGCTCCCTCAGGCTGGGCCTCAAAATACTGCCCAGCAGACCTGCAGGAGTCCATGCTCATGGCTTCAGGCCAGCTTGGGGGTGGAGTGGGCACAGACTGGCTCCCCAGGACAGTGGGGTCTGGTCCATGGCTTGGGCTCTCCACACAGAACATGGAAGACCCTGCCTATGGCCGCGAGTGCCCTAGTGGTGTCAGAAGTGAACCATCAGCTTTCCTCCTGTTGGAGACTTGCCGTGCTCACAGCCCCTTTTTCTTTCTGGTGCGGTGCTGGGGCTTGAGCCCAGGGTGCGTGCTTGGCAGGTACTCTGCCACTGAGCCAGAGCCAGCCCAGAAGCCACCTTTCAGTCATTCTGTAGCCACAGAGAGCAACCCGAGTTGGGGCTCAGTCATCTGGCCCTTGGTCTTATGCTCCCCGGTTGTACAGTATTAAGTGGCTGTCAGCAGAGAGCCCCAGCCCACAGCATCCAGCACCAGCATCGGCTCTTCCTTCCTTTTGGCTCCAGGCACCGTGCCACCCAGCCTCAGCCCCTGCTCTCTTTATTTTTTGTTTTTTGAGACAGGGTCTTGCTGGTTGCTGAGGCTGGCCCAGAGCTCGCTGTCCTGCACCTGCCTCCTGCGTTGCTGGGAGGGCAGGTGTGCACACTGTGCCTGGCCACCATGCCTCTGCAGCCGTGCCACCCCTGTGCTGACTGCGCTGCAGGCTTTCGCTGCAGCGTGGTGGCCCCAGGCCTGGCCATTACTCTGCTCCACCCCAGACGCTGCCAGGGAGCCCAGGCTGGCACGCAGGGGGCCCTATGCTGCCAGAGCTCCAGAAGCACTGCTGGTGCTCGTGGCTTCCAAGTGCCTCAGGCTGGTGGCCCTGCTGGGCCACCTCAGTGGAGTCACATGCTGCAGACTGTGAACTCTGCTTATTGTTGAGCAGAAACGGCCCGAATGAGGGGTGTGACTTGGAATGAAGTGGGGTCTGGATGACCCCTGGGGTCCTTCCCTGCAGGGTGGGGTGGCCACATTGGAAAGGGCCCCGTGCCATGCTGAGTCCTGAGGGAGCCAGGCAGCCACGCTGTGTCAGCAGTGGCCCCAGGAGGGACAAAGCCAGACAGCGAGGTGCTACTGCCCCTAAACCCTGTGGAGACCCCGTGGGCCACCAGGAGGCAGCCTAGGAGGGACGGTGGGAGGGATGAGCCAGCCTGGGCAGTGAGTGATATCCCTGCATAGACTTCGAGGGTACTGAGAGAAGGCCTGGCCTCCAGGGAGGACCAGTGGCGCTATCCACGCCACACACTGCCTTTACCAAAAATGTGACCTTGTCTTTTTCAGTGTTTCTCAAGTCATAGAAAGGGTTTCAGGACACAGGTGTGGGAGGGACTGAGTCCAGCCCAAGCTGCGGGAGGAGGTGCAGGCAGGGAGTCTGGAAAGCCTGACATGGAATTGTGGGGGTTTGGGGACCTATCTTCTGTGGGAAGCAGGAGCAGCGCTCAGAGCCAAGCTGGGCACTAGATGTGGCTGGGGTCCCCCAGGAAGTGGGCCCAACAGCCTGCGCCTACCTTTTTCCAGGGACATGCCCCAAAACTGCCATCCAAAAGAAATGCCAGGCGTTTGTGTCTGCAATACTTGACTTTAATGACTTTCCATATATTTTTGGAAATTCTCATTAAATTGGCATAAGTGAGAGAACAGCATAGACTGGAGGGGTGGCCATCAAGGGCCTCTCAGTGTAGGTCAGATGCTGACTACACCTCAGATGCCAGATTCCTGCCTGAGGCCAGGCTACCTGCTGGAGCAGCTGCTTTGCACACCTTCCTAAAGCCTCGCAAGCCAGAGGTCCATCCCTCTGCCTGGTTGCAGGGGGTACGGTGCCCCACAGACATGTGTCGGGCCACATTCAACATGGGTCTCTCACCAGGGCACTTTCCTTTCAGAAGTCCCCATGAGAAGAAGAAGAAGAGGCGATCGCAGTCACGGACCAAGGCTAAGGCGCGGTCACAGTCAGCGTCCCCGAGTAAGCAGGCAGCACTACGGCCTGCAGCCCACTCAGCACACTCGGCCAGCATCTCTCCTGTGGAGAGCCGGGGCTCCAGCCAGGAGCGCTCCAGGTAATCAGCCTCTGGGCAGTGCTCAGTGGGAGAGGGTGGGTGGCAGGCGGGCCTAGCCCCAGGGTGCATCTGCTGATCCCAGCCCCTGCTCCCCAGGCAGAGGAGGTCCCCAAGTGGACCCTGCTACAGGAGAAGAGTACCTATGGTGCAGGCTCCTGAATGTTAACTGGCCAGTCCTGCACCTGCCCTTGGGAGCAGGTCCCAGCATGGTCCTAGGGACAGGAAGAACCAGCACTGGGGGTCTGCAGCATCCAGGGAACTCAGGGCTCCTGTCACCACAGCACCAGTCACAGGGGTCAGGGCTACTAGCCTCCCCACCAGTCAGCAGTCCAAATTGGTTGTCAGGGTATGAAACCCTGGCAAGACCCAGTGTCCCTGTCCTGGATGTAATGATCCTCAGGTGATGGCAGACCACACATGAGGCAGCTACTCTTGTTCAGGTCGCAGCAGTCAAGACCCCTGCTACACCCCACACCCAACGGGCTGGGAAGGGGTGTGTGGCACTGCGGCTCACGCCTGGCGTAGGAGGCACAGGCGGCTTTCCCATGTAGGGAGCAGCAGCCACAGGCCAAGTGCAGGAGCCTGGGCAATGGCAGGTTCAGGAGTCCCCGAGGTCCCCCCCGTGGAGACTCGGCCTGTCTGCTGGCTCCCATGTTCCTCTGGTCCCATGTGTTTACGTAGCCTCTCCTGAGAATGAATTCCAAACTAGTTTCCTTATACAAACGCTGTATAAATGCTTGACTGCGTGGCCCGCGCGGCCCTGGTGTTCAGGAGAGCAGCCCTGCTTACCCTTGGAAGCTGGCCTGTAAGGGCGCCCACCCACAGTGCCCTGGCCCCCACACTACAGAGTAGGTTCAAGCTCTGGTCCCTCTCTTTGCTTTAGGGGCGTTTCTCAGGAAAAGGACGGTCAGATCTCTTCGGCAATCGTTTCTTCCGTGCAGAGCAAAATAACTCAGGTAAGTCAGGCCCTTGGGCCTCTGTCCTGGTCTCTGGAAAGGGGCCTTGTTTTCTCTCCCCTGACTCCCACTCCTGCTCCCACTTCACTCGTGCTGACCCAGGAGGGAGTCCTGGGCTGGTTGGTGTCTGGCTACGCAGCATGCAGAGGCCCTGCTGGGGCTGCAGTCCCCTGGTCTCCGTTTCCAGGGCTGCCACACGGTAGCACCCTCCCCCGGTGGACCTGCATGAGGTCATGGCAAAGGAGACTTGGACGGACGTCAAAGTTGAGAGGGGGCTTTGGCCTCAGTGCAGCCTGAACGTGCCCACAGCCCACACCCAACCTCCCAGGCCACCTCTGGCCAGTGTGTAGGCTCTGCTCCCCCGTCCCCACGGGTCCGTGAACTCCCCGCCCAGTGGTCAGGTCCCTGTCTCACCCTGTGCAGGATCTCATGGCCAAAGTCAGAGCAATGCTCGCAGCTTCCAAAAACCTGCAAACCAGCGCCTCCTAAGGCAGCGGCCATGGAGCCAGCCTACTGCACGACCCGAAGCCCTGTGTGGCCCGCAGCTTGGAGCCACCGCCGCGGAAGTCGGAGTGGAAGAGCTTGCTGCTGGCAGGCCCGGGGCAGAACCGTCCAGGCTCACCACCCAAGACTCTGGGGACAGTTGGTGGCTTTTGTAAATTAATTTTTGATGACATTTTCAGTTTAAGATTTTTGACCAGCAGTCTCTTACTTGTATATTTGTAAATAATATCATGTTTCTGTGAAAATGTATTATCAAATAAAATGGAAGAAACACCTTTTCTAGCTGGCAGCCTGGAGCTGTGTCTGCCTTCTTGGGCTCACAGTGCCCCTTCATGAGCTTCGCCTCCTAGCGGACGCCATGTACATAAGGCAGCTGGGCTCACCTGTCCTGCCTGCTGCCCTCCCGCAGCAGCTGCTCATGACCTGCACAGCCCCAGTGAGGCACCTGGACGCAGTCAGCCTCTGGGATGGCTGTGTGTCCCCACGCAACAGGCTTGGCAGCGCTGTTGGAGAGCCCATGTGGTGGCAATGTCACACGGTGCAGCCCTCAAGGCACCAGCTGCCCAGAGGCACCCTGTACTGGGCTTCGGAAGCCCCATAGGTTTGAGTATGCGGATGAAGGTGCAGGTTTGTGTGTCCCTCGCTGGCCAGGACCCACGTGTCCCCCGTGTGCTTTGTAGGGCACGCTGCATGCGTCCCCACATAAGCCGTCTCTGCCACCAGGACCACTGAGCGCAGGGCAGGCCCTGAGGTGCCCACACAGGAATCCCTGCCTCCCACACACAGCACGAGCCTGGCCTCCCCTGCATCAGGAGGGCATGGTCTCCTGCTGAGGGTGCAGCTGCAGGTGCTATGTGTAGAAGCTCTTCTGCATCCTGCCCCACCAGCCAGCCTTGCCCCATGGGGGGCTCACCTAGGGTGGTGCGCACCTGTTCCCCTCGGCACCATCCTCTGCAGAGGGCACCTGGTGTAGGCTAGCACCGGCGCTCCTGCTGGGGAAACACTGCTCAGGAGCCATGTCGGCAGGACCCTGCTTCTCACAGGCACTGCTGACCGGCCTTTGGCGGGAGCAGCACGGAGTGGTGGGAACGGTTGTAGTCACATGGGACCCTTAGGATGCGCCAGTTCCCGTCTGTCCTGCTGGGCATCCTCACTGGGGTTGAGCCTGCCAGGTGGCACTCACTGTGCCTCGTGGCATGCCTGTTGCAAGGTGTCCAGGATGCTGGGGGAGGCCACAGGGCAGAGGAGGCCTTAGATGGGCTGGGGGGGTCGGGTCTTTGTGAGCAGCATCACTGCAGTCGAGGAAGGGTGAGGCCCTGGGTGGTGGCCTCTGAGTCCTGGGCCCTCCTGGACACGCCCTTGCTTGTCCATGGCTGCCTTTTGCCCTGAGTTTTTAAGTCAGCAGCTCTGGCTCTGTCACTGCATTGCCTGCCCTCTACAGCATCTGGGGGTATGAGGGTTGGCCCTGGACAGCATGGGGTGGGGGCAGCCATGAGGTGGCATGGGTTCCAGCCCTCATCCACCTGGGGTGGCAGCATCTGCCATGCGCTACCCAGCCTGTGTCACTTGGGTCCCCAGGGAGGCCCTCCTGCCCCCTCCCCTGGCAAGTCACTGCCATTCTGGGTGGCCCACTGAGCCCCTGCAGAAGGCGAGTCCCAGCCATTCTCCTTTGGACTCCATTAGGGACTCGGATCCTAGAGAGTGGCTTTCAGCTGGCACGGCATGGTCCCTGGCTAGCAGTGGCGACGAGGACAAGCCCAGAAGAAACTGGTGCTGTTACCGCACAGGGCCGCCCAGGAGCCCACAGCTTTCCCAGGCTCCACGGCACAGGGTTGGTGGCCGTCACATGCCCCTGGGCTGGGAACACCAGGGGTGCCAGACACCCATTCTCAGTAGCATGAGGGGCCTCCTGGCCTGCTCCATGCAAGTCCATGCCAGCCGCCTCCGTTTTTGGGCTGTGCAGGGTTCTCTGGAAAGGACAGCCCAAAAAACGTCTGTGGCAAGCAGGAGCTCCTGTCAGCGATGGGAAGAGCTGCTTAATCACAAGCCCGCGAACTGCTGAGCAGGGGCACCTGGGGTGCAGAGGCAGAGGACTTCAGACTGGAGCTGAGGGGCCTCCACATCCTCCCCTGGACAGATAGTGGGTTGTTAGGCTAAGGCAGAAATACAGCCAGGTTGTGCCCTTGCCAGTATGGACCACATTCCCTACAGGTCCTCCCAGGTCCACGGGGTGCAGAGCAAGGGCAGACTTGCCATGGCAATACTCCTTCTAGGTCCCTGGAGCCCTGTGGCTGCCCAAGAGCAGCTTTGCTTTCCTTGTGTGCCCAGTGTCTAGGAGGGCAACACACCTGGTAGCCTGGGAAGCCGCTCCACACTGCCACAGGCCCTACCCAGCAGGTCATGCTGAGCACATCCTCTGTAGCACGCCTACTTCTGGGAAGTCAAATGGGGAGACAAAATAGGGCCTGGTGGCCCACGCCTGTCATGCCAGCAACTTGGGAGGCTAAGGCAGGAGGATCACAAGTTCAAGGCCAGCCTCAGCAATTTAGCAAGAACTTTTTTCAAGATCTTTAAAAGGGCTGGGAGTGCGGCTCAATGGTAGAGTGCTCTTGGGTACAATCCCCAGTACGGCTCCACAAAAACATTGGCAGGACAGTCCATGCACTCACACGCCTCTCCGCCAACCTCAGGAGCAGCAGGCACACCCAACTCCAGGTCCTTGTTCCCAATTCCACCCTCCAGAAGGAGCCCAGGCCTTGGAGGAGTGGCTGGTCCCAGGCTGGGTGGGAAAGGCCCCAACAGGTCAGAAGTGCCCACAGCGATGGCATGTCAGGGAACAGGAGCCGGGGGCTCTACAGCCATAGCAGAACAAGGACCACAAGGTGGGTTCTCCATGCCGGAGAGATCAGGGAGCCCTGAGCGTCCTGTGGAGGGACCCCCTGGGAGTCGGTCTCTAGTTTGAACACCACAGTGCTTGCTCAGACTTTATGAGAACTGGGTGTCACTAGGGGACAATCTAAAGGGACCACTGGAGCACATGCCGTCCAAATGAGCCAAGTGGGTCTGGGTGGCACAAGGCTGTACCCTATACCCTGGTGGCACAAGGCTGACACCTGGAGGTGTCCTTGCCCGTGGGCTGTGGGGCAGCCCCCAGGAGCACACTGGAGAGAGTAACTGAGTGGGTAGAGACACCCAGACGCCCCTGCCAGGTGTTCCAGCAGCACCAGCCCCATGAACTGTGGCCACTGCCGGGCTGACGGTGAGAGCATCAGGGCCCCAAAGGGACCTTGCACAGAACCCCAGAGGAGCCCAAGAGACATGGTGACTTGACCTCCTATGTCCCAGGTCCTGTAGGCTTCAGTTGTGCCCAGGATCCTGTGGCAGGGCAGCTGTTACAGAGGAAGGGAGCGTCCTTTGCTGTCCCCGGTGTTGCTGTAACTCAATCGTAAACTCAGAAATTCATTGTATCCAGGTGCAGTGACTGCAAGCCAGTAATCCCAGCAGCTTGGGAGGTCGAGAAAGGAGCTCAAGGCCAACCTCGGCAACTTAGTGAGGCCTATCTCAAAAAGCAAAGCAGGCTGGGGTTGAGCTCAGTGGTGGAGCCCTGGGTTCAATCCCTGGTACTGAAGGGAAAAAACTTACTGTGAAAAACAAGCGGCACGCAGCCACCCACATCCTCTGAAGCTGCGCCCTGGGTGCCTTGTGCCCTGGCCACACCAACGCAGGACCTGCCTGATGACACCACAGGGGAGCTTTCCTGCCTCTCTCCTCACATCCTTGCCTGCAGCCCAAGGTCCCGAGGGCAGGGGGCAGGACGCTGGTGGCTGCAGCCGTGAGCCAGCCTTTGCAGTGAGCCAGCCTTTGCAGAGCACCCGCTGGGCTCTGTCGCGGCCACCACCCGGGCTCCCATGATTGGACGTCAGGGCCAACTTCCCAGCATGTTGTGGGACCGACACTCATGACTTCTCTGAAACAGCTGGAGTGGGGAACTGAGGCTTCAGGGACAGCGTCTGATGGCCTCAATGAGGCTGCTTCATAGAGTTTCTTCCTTTCCTCACTGTTGTTCTAGGGGAGACACGGGAGGCTGATCTAAGGACAAAAGTAACAGCGCTCACTTTCCTGCTCAGGCTTCTGGGTTGAGAGTGCCGTCCGCTATTGCTCCAGGGCTGCAGATGGGGAGGGAGGAAGAGGGCCTGCGACTGGCCCACTGGCCTGTCCCATGAGCCTCTCAGGGATGGACAGAGTAGCATCTAAGGAGGCCAGTGGGGAGGAGCCAGGGAGCCCAGCAGCTGGAGGGACGGAGGCCCAGATCCTAAAGAACCAGAAACAGGAGCACGTGAGTGGCTTTGGAGTGCCATTCAGGAGGGCAAAGGGGCATGCTGACAAAGTGAAGTCCCACAACTCTGTCCCCAAGAGCTGAGGGCTCGAACTCAGGAGCATGCCCAGAGAGGTGTAGACAGCATTGTGATCCAGCCACATGGGAGCACTACACCGCCATGAAGAGGTAGGAACAGGCCCAGCACAGCCTGGGACAGCCCCAGCACAGTGTGCCCATGAGACAAGCCAAGTGCTGGAGGACACATCCAGCATGAGTCCACTTACAGAAGGCCCAAGAGCAGCAAGTCCTGGGGGACAGCTGGCTTAATGGGGCAGAGCTTCAGTTTGGGAAGATGAAAAGCTCCCAGGGATGGCGGTGATGGCTGCCCCCATGTGCCACCGCAGCACTCAAAAATGGCCCCAAAGCAGCTGTGTGCTGGGCACGTGGACACACCTGTGATCCCAGAAGCTCTGGAAGCTGAGGAAGGAGGATCAGGAGTTCAAAACTGGCCTCAGTAACTTGGCCAGACCCTGTCTCAAAGTGACCAATGAAGAGCTGGGGTGCTGCCCAGTGATCCAGTACCACTGGGTTCAACCCTGATACCAAAATGTGGGCTGGTAAGACCCGGGTCCAACCCCCACACCACAGAAATAAACAGTGGTTAAAATGACAGGTTTTATATTTTACCACGATTTTTTTTTTTTTTTTGGTGCCAGGGATTGAAACCAGGGGTCCTTGACCCCTGAGCCCACTCCAGCCCTCCTTTGTCTTATTTAGAGACAGGGGCTCACTGCGTTGCTTAGGGCCTCACCATTGCTGAGGCTAGCTTTGAACTTGGCATCTTCCTGCCTCAGCCTCCCGAGTCGCTGGGATCACAGGCGTGCGCCACCGCGCCCGGCCATATTGTACCACAATACCACAATATTTACATGATGATTTTAGATGGCAATAGCAAGGTACTAAAGGCCTTGGCGAGGGGTTTTGTAGCAGGGACCACAGCTGGCGCCAGTGGGTTGGGATGGAGAAGCAGGACGCTGGGGACAGGGGCCAGGGTCAATCTCAGGGAGACAGTCCAGCCTCCCATGCACCATAGACTCATCTGAGGTGGCTCTGTTTCCCTCAGGGAGCCCATGCACATCCCTGGGGGCTCAGCCCCTCCTGCTGCCCAGTGAGCTGGACGAGGCCAGGAGGTGCCACAGCTCCCCGGGGCCGCAGCCTCACCCTCCCAGGGCCTTCGGGTCACAGCCAGGAACCCGCCCACCATGCTCCCTGCCACTGTCAACAAGGCTCCAGCACCAGTGCCCAGCCGCCTCCCACAGGTCTTTGCCACAGCCAAGGAACGGGCACAGGGCGGCCAGGAACAGACGGGGTCTGGCCAGACTGAGGGCGAGCCCACAGCACCCTCACCAAGCACCTGAGCACCCTGGTCGCCAGACTGCAGCCCACATGTGGTCAGGCTCAGGCTGGGTGCACTTGAAGGTGCGATTCCTACTGGCACCTGCCCTCCAGTGCTGTCCCCAGGCCAGGCATGATGCTCCGCAGGACAGCAGGGGTCCAGGGAGACAGGAGGCAAGCAGACAGAGCAGCACCAGGGGTGGGGTGCCAGGGGAGTGGGCACGGGGCAGTGTCATGTGCAGAGGACACACAGAGTGGAGGCCCACAGGGAGGGATGGGCCAAGGGAGAGCACTGCAGCTGCTGGAGTCAGAGCACCCAGGTGCTGGAGAGGCGGCCAGGACTTCCTGCAGGACGCAGGGGAGAGGCCTGGCTGGGGCAGGACCCTGCGGTGGGGAGGAGGCTCACCTTTGGGATAGACAGAGCTGAGGAGGCCCAGGAGGTGCCTGAGGGTCCTGGGCTACCGCATGCAGGTGCCACACACTCGGAGGCCAGCAGCAGAGGACTTCCACTCAGCCTGTGTGGCTCCTGAGGCTTGCCCTTGTGGCCCTGGGGGTTGAAGTGGGGGGGCGCTCCACTGCTGAGCTTCACGCCCAGCCCTGTTGGTCTCCTGAGTCAGGGTCTCCCTGAGCTGCCCAGGCCGGCCTGGAATGCGGCCCCTCCGTCTGCCAAGTTGCTGGATCGCCAGTGTGGCCACCATGCCCAGCCTCTTCCTGCTCTGATGAGGACACTTAACTGTCACTGGGTTTGGTCTCCAATTGAGCACACCTGAGCAGAGGGGTCGGTACAAGGCCATGAGATGACCTCAGGGGATCTCATGATCCTTAACGCAATCACACCCACAAAGACCCTTGTCCACATGTGTATGAACACATCCAAAGGTCCCCCTGGACACGAATGTGGGGGACACCTTTCACCCTGCTAAAGGACCCCGGATCCCATCCCAAGGCAGGAGCAGAGCTCCCGGGGGGGTCCAAGGATGCTGGCAGGTCCCTGGAGCCAGCCGTGCCTGAAGGCAGGAAGCCCCCACTGTCCCACTACAACTGTGTCTTTATGAGGTGCTGTAACTATTCCTCCTGCAGGGGACCTCTGGAGGAGAGGGGGAGGTGAGCCAGGCAAAGGTGAGCCAGGCAGAGTGCTCTGATGCTACTCTAGTGTCCAGCACCTACAGAGCCCTCCTCAAGTACCAAGTGGGGACTGAGCTGCTGCAAAACAGAGTCTCCCTTCAATGCCATCGCAGGCTGCAGCTCTGGGTCACCTGTCAGCCAGCTCAGCAGGTGCAGGGACAGGGAGGCCCAAGTAGCTGGGCTGGGTGCTCCTAGGCAGGACGCGAGGGAAGGCAGAAGCTGAGAGGGAGGCTGTGCACAGGGGCAGCTCTGGGCCCCCCACGGGCTGGGCCCACCCCACTGCCCTCTCCAACCATGACCCTGCTCCTTCACCCTCCTGCACGTGTGCGACCATCCCCCCAAACCCACAGTGAAGCCCCAACCTCAAGAACCTCAGAAAGTGACCAGTGGAGACGGCCTTTGAGGAGGAAACTCGGGTAAGAAGGCTGTTGGGGTGGACCCCATCCAACAGGTCCTTGGGAGAAGAGGAGGACAGGTAGAGACACCAGGCTGGACCAGGGACACCGAGCCTGCCGCCCAGGCTCCCAGGCTCTGGACCAGCAAGAGAAGAGCCCTCCAGCGCCCGAGCCCCAGCCCCAATCCACCCTCCTCCTACAGGCTGAGCCGGGGCTGCCTCCTGGGAAGAGCCCTCTGCCTGCTCAACCCTCAACGCTGTGGGGCCCAGAAGTAGGGTCAGGACCTGCATGGGGGCCTGGCGGGCTGCATACCATGCGCCCAGCAGCGTCAGCCAGCAGGCCCAGGGTTGGTCCTCCCAGTCACTGGTGCCCAGCCAGGCTTGGCGGAGACATGGGGGCCTGGTGGAGGGCCACCACCTCCCTGGGGCCCTCTGGGGCAGGTGCTGTCTAAGCACAAGGCCCAGGCTTCTCCTTCCCCAGTCATCACCAGCTTCGCCACCGTGAGGTAGAAATGTCCCTAGTGCCCGCTGGTCTCCAACTTAGCAGACCTGAGCAGAGGGGTCGGTACAAGGCCATGAGAACCCCCAAGAACTGGCCAAAAGTGACAAGAAGGGCTGGGGCTGGGAGGTGGTATCCAGCCTGGGCTTGTGGTCTGCGCTGGCCACCTCCAGGGACAGGAGAGTCCACTCTGCCTTCGTCAGCAGAGCTCAGGCTACCAGAGGTGAAGGCCCAGGCCAGGTGGGCTCTGTAGCCCTGAGCCTTGGGGCTGCCAGGCAGCCCAGCAACTTGCAGACAGGCACTGTCCCCCCAGAACCTGCTGGGCACAGGGCACAGCGGGTCCAGGGGAGGCCCCACTTCCCCTGTGCACGTGCCTGTCCTCTGTTTGCAGGCCCACATGCCTCCCACATGGCCCAGGAAGCTACAGCCAGCAGCACCCAGCTCAGCCAGCACCCCAGACCGCAAACTTCCCCAGCCCAAGTCCCCAGCCTGCCTCTCATTGGATGGTGTGGCTCATGTGTCCATCCTGATTCCAGGGACAGAGGTGAGCCAGATGCCCAAACTGGGCTTTATGTTCCAGAGGCAGAGCCAGCATCTGCAAACCCTGCACCACAGGGACAAAGCAGAGACTCTCTGAAGGAAACTGGTGGTGCCTGGAGCATGGGCAGCAGGCAAGGCTGGATCAAGGAGCTCAGAGGCTGAGACAGATGTGTGAGTATGCACATGGTACATGTAATTTACAGGTTTGTGGGAAGTTACCTACTTTCTATTTTTGTTTTCTCAAAATTTGGTTTTTGTTTTTGGGTTTTGGCCAACAATATGAGTAGCCCCATGGGACACCTGGGTCTAACCCCTGTCTTCTCTCCAGACTCAGTGCAGGTCCATCCTCTGGGTATACATGTCCTGGTGTGCTCAATCCAGGGCAGCCACCAACTGCTATGGCACCTTTGTGGGTCTCAGAAAGATACCTGTGCCCCAGTGGCATGTCCATCCCCAGCAGGACACTGGGTCCAGGAAGCAGGGTCCAGTCTCACCACGCTCAGGCCACAGCCAGCCCACTGGGAACAGCCCTGGCTCAGCCAGTCTGCTGCAGATGGGCAGAGTTCACCTTGAACACGAGCCTTCCTGAGCCCAGACAGGAATGACCGTTCAGGGCAGACAGCAGGTGCTAGACCACCACAGCTGCTCCAGTGGCCTTCCCAGGGGCCACACAGAAGGCCCCAGGTCCTGCACCTCATGCCCACCTGATGGGCTGGCTGGGGGAAGCTGCCTCTCAGAGCCTGGACTCTGTTAAAGGCCAGAGCATGGGCAGCTTGAAGGCACTCCAGCAGCACTATGCCTCGGCCCCTGGGGAGCCATAAGACCTGTCACCAGCCTCGAAGGACCTGCCTAGGAGAACAGCCACGGTCAGTCTCTTCCTATGCTTGCTCAGACCCAGCCACTGTCCTTCTTCAGTGCTGACAAAGCCCCAGTGAAACCTCTCACCAGCACAAAGCCAACAGCCCCTCCATGCAGCCTTCAGCCTGCACTCAAAACCTCAAAAGCAGTGGGAGTCCCCTTACTCTGGTCACCTGCCATGTCACACCCACTGGCCCCTTGATCAGCCTTGCCTGCCACACACACTCTCCCAAACCCCGACTTCTGATTTCCTTCAGAAAATCCCTTTCAGCCAGCACACTCCTATAACCCACACAGCTCCAGAGGCTCAGGCAGGAGGATCTCAAGTTCAAAGCCAGCCTCAGCAACTTAGTGAGGCCCTAAGCAACTTAGCAAGACCCTGTCTCAAAATAAAAAGGGCTGGGAAATGTGGTTCAGTGGTCAAGCACCCTGGCCAGGTTTAATCTCTAGTACAAAAAAAAAAGTCCCTTTCAGCCCAGGCAGCTCCCCTCCTACCACCCGATGCCACAGCCTGGTTCAGGGATAGAGAGGCGGACCACGTCATCCAGAAAGACAGCCTTGATACTAGCTTTAGAGGACCCCCTCTCTACCTGCGCTTGCAAGCTGGGAAATGTTTGCTGCAGCTGCCCTTGTGGCCTGAGAGCCCAGGTTCCCGTCTTGCTGCTGTACAGCTCCATCCACTCTTGCTGATGGTGGCCACTCTGGACATCCAATTGAATGAGCCCTCTCCTCCACTAGGGCCAGGTTTGGGTTGAGTCTCTGTGCTGGGACCTACCTAGTCCTTCCATCAGCACCAGCGATCTGGCCAGGTCCAGAGGCTCAGGAGGCTGAGCAGAAGACTCACAAGTTCCAGGCCAGCCTGAGCAACTTAGGGAGACCCAGTGTCGCCACCAAAAAGAGGCTGAAGAAGGCTCCCAGCCTTCCACTCTCAAACCCTCCCACCGGCTCTCCGGAGGCCAGCACTCTGGGACCCCTCCCCATGCTCTCCGGACTCCCCACGCTCCCTAGGGAACCCCCTCCCCGCTCTCCCCGCCCTGTTCTCCGCCCCCATGCTCCCTCTGACTCCCCTCCGGCTCCGCGGCCCGCGGGCTCCCCCACGCGCCCGTTCAGATGCGAAGGCCGCCGGTCCCGAGCGAATGCGACAGGGCCCCAGGCGCTGAGGCGGGCGGAGAGGTCTGCTTCCCAAAGGTGGCCAGGACCCCGGGGCCTCGCCGGCCCACCAGCGCGCCGCGGCCTGAGGACGACTTGGGACCCTCGGGGAGCGCCTACCTTGCGCGACCCATATACAAAGCCCGTGCGACTCGCAGGCAGGAGGGTGGGTCACGGGCCCTTTAAGGCGGCGAGCGGGGACTGGGGGGGTGTCCTTAGCCATCATTAGCATGTCCCCGCCCCTTGGAGGAGGGCGGGCGCGCAGCTAGTCCCGCGGAACTGAGCGCCAAGCGGGTGCGGCCGGGAAGGGCGCCGGCCCTTTAAGGCGGCGGGCGGGGCGAAAGGTCATTAGCGTACATTAGCATGCCCCGCCCCTCG